ATTCAAATATTATTAAAAATAATTAATTTCATGTTTTACAAAATAGAATGGATAAAAATTTAATGCATCCTCTATAATTTGATTAGTATTTCTTCCTCTCTCAATATTATTTTATCTAAAATATAAGAAAATGTTATTAAATGATTGAATGTATTAAGACACTGATATAACAATGTATTTTCTTGATTATTAGTTCATAATTTGATTAAACAAACAGGCTTTTAATTATCTCTAATAACATTCTAAAGTGATTTCTAAGGTTATATTAGGAAAAACTGTATTCATAATCACCAAACCAAACTAATTTGATTATAAACATACTAATAAAACTCAAAGATCTTTTTAAAATTCTATTAGTTTAATCAGATTTGGCTTCAAAGTTCTAGGTTATGCTTAGAACTGAAAATTAAAAATTAGTAGTTATCTATTTAATAATTCATACCTAGGTTACAACATTTATTCCCAAATACAAATTTATTTTCTTGTCAACTCCTAAAGCAAACCACGTAAGGGCAAGTTTATAAACATGCATATCATCATTTTTAAATATTAAATTGCCATCAACACATTATTCATCAGCAAAAATAAATTTATATCCACAAATAAAGTGAAAACTTAACTAACTAATAAACTTCCTCCTTACACAAATCATCTAAATCTAATAATCTATATAATTGTACATTCATTATTAATTTGTAATAACCAGGTCTATATACACATTATAACCCATTTTCTGTTCAAAAAAGCATCAAAAGTTTAACAACTGTAAATGTTCCTTGAAAATAGGTCTAACTTAATTAATTACACTTGAAACCTGAATGAGCTGCTGCTTTATAAAATAATCATTTTGGGCATCTACATGTGTTTTAACAAAATAATTGCAAATTAAAAAATAATTAGTAATAGATCCAATGCAAATTTAAAAAAATTTAATGACATCTTTAAAATTAATCAACAATAAGATTTAACTAGTTCATTATTTGATCCAATACATTCCAAACGTTTTGTTAATTTATTTTTATTGTGATTTATTATTTGATACTAATTCTTGCTCTATTAGAATATTATTAATAATAACTTTTGGGCGATTTATAAATTGTTCTTTATTTTCAATTGAGTACATAAATAAACCATCTAAAGAAAATATATATAGAATTGGAATTTAGTCCGATGATGTGAGTCTTTTGCATGATATTTCCTTTAACACTTTAAGTCCTAATTATATTATTCTGATGCATATTGGATCCATTTTCACAAACATACCAATTTAATGGTACAATTATACATAATGATATCTGTATTCATCACAAAAGTAACAGTCTTAAGGACAATAACCTGCATTAATACCTATTCTAAACAACCCCTTATAATCCATGCATGTTATCAATAATTTATAATTTGTGAATTTTTATGAATAATTTCTTATTGCTGAAAATAGAAATCAATATTAGGAATATAAATATATGCAATTAAATAATAAATTATATTTGAATTATAATTTAAATATTGCGAGTAGCTTTCCGTTGAATAGATTGTTTATTTTATGAGTTAAACTTATTGATTCATTTCTATAAATTGAACCTAAATAATTATAATTTATGGGGTTCTTGGATTAAAAAATAATTTGACTAATTAATCTGAAATCCTAAAAGTTTTTATTATAAAATTTATAGGTTCCATAATCAAGAACTATATGTAAAAATTAAGGGGAACTACATTAAAAGTTAGAGGATTGATTTAAAAACCAATTAACGAAATCTCATTAGTTGTTGTAGATAATGATTAATAAAATCTTTAAATACCCGAACTAAAATTAAAGATCCTGAATAAAATAAATTATAATTTATGAATATATCTAAATCTATTAGACTACGTATATTAATTCTTTAATTTTTCTCCCACAAACTAAGATATTTAAATTTCAATTCATGGATAAGATAAAAAAATCCATTATAGTATCAATATGAAATATATCTCTTTATTCAACTTTCTTCAGATACTATCAATTAAACGGACACGGTTAACAAATATTGTTTGCAGGTAATCCATAATAACAACTTGTATATTAATTAAATTTTGGACCTGTGTATTATTTACATGATGTGTAATAGTTAAGAGCTGAGATTAAGATATTTTTAATTGAAATTAATCCGTCAATAGTATTTGATAATGTAAAAAGCAATTAACCATTTATTGAATTAAGCATTTCTATTATAAAATAACAATTTTAATTTCATAACCATTTTTATCACAAAATTTAGTTGTGATATATGTATTAAAATGACTTTATCATAATGGTACTAATTTTCATATGTCCATATATTAATACTAAAATATAATTTATTATACCTTGAAAATATAAAAATAGAGTAGAATATCCTTTTTAACATTTAAAAAAAACAATAACATTAAGCTGATGAATATTTACTATTTAGAGTGATATAGCTTGTTTCAGGTGTAATGCAATTTATAAAATTTGCTGTTGTTTACTTGAATGGCTATAAAAAGTATTTAGAATAAGTAAATATGATTGATTATTCATTTTCATAAGTAAATTTCTGATCATCATATACTTATTTGCATATTGTAAACAATTATGATTTAGAAACATCAATTAAGCCAAGAAGAATAAAAATTTTTATGTATTCATTATTCAAAATAATTATTAATGAATTGGATAATAAAGTATCAATAAATTTGGATAAATGAGTTCTTAACTTATATGTATAAAAATTCTAAATGAAACATTCTATAGTTTAATTGAACTTGCAAAAAATATGAATTGCTATTGAAATTATGGCAAATTCATACCTTAACTCTTATTAAGGATATGAAGAATTAATGAAAGAAATACAGTTATTAATAAAAGCTAAGAGAGTTAACATTTATTTAAATATCGATTTTACCAGCATTCTCATAATTTAAGATTAAATTATATTAATTAGCTTCATTTTTTAGTATTTTTTATATTTAAAAAGAAAAAGATTTAAATTAGTATAAGTATGTAATTTTAAATGTAATTGAAAAATAAACAATAATTAATAAGAATGAATTAATTATTGATAAAATATTTATTCTATCTATTGGTATTTCTGTACATAATTGTATAAAATGATCTCTTTATTTATAAAATTATGTTGAATAAAAGCAGTAGTAATATATTAGATGAATAGCATAATTTAATAGAAAGATATTTTATGACTAATAGATTGATTCTATAAATAAAAGAGTATATAGAGTGGCAAATATTGGCAAGTGAAATAAAAATTTAGTGGAGTTACAGATTATATTAATTTAATATATTAAAAATTATAGCTTAATTTCGAGTTTATAGGCTAAGCTCTATTTCGTTTATAAATGGAGAAACATTAAATTAATAAGAAATTGCGAAATGGATTGGAAGAAAGAAAACCATCCAGTCTGTGATAGATCAGATATCCTAAAACTAGTAAATTTTCTCCATGAATTAAATTGCTCAAATAATTGAGAAGGTATGAGTTTTAGCATTATTATTTAGAGGCAGTTCTTCTTAAATCTAGAAAAAGTTATTAATTATTTATTGATCACTATTTCTTATATACATTTATACTTTTGCCTCACACTTACCTTATGATATTTTACTTGCACATATGGTTTATTCCAACTTATTAACTACATAGCACTACTTTAGTCTTTATCATACCAAAACTGTTTTGTTAATTTATCAATCCAGTTTACTTAGACAAGGAGTTTAAAATTGAGAATTACTTCATAAGCTTCCAAAGATGAGATTAATTGCTTACTCGAAATTTTAACCAGAAGTATATTATTCCTCCACCCCATGAAATGAACAGAACCAATTATTTTGTGGTTTTCTGGTACTTTAACTAACACTGGAACAAGGCTAAGTAAGACCTCAATGATATGACTAGGAATGATAGTACAAAAAGGAGTTGAAAGAATTTCTGAACTTTAATATATATTGAAGATTGTATTGCAGGATTATATTCTTGTGATTAGAAAATTGTTTAAACCAATTTTTATCCTGATAACTATTTATCAGTAAAAATATTGCATCAGTTAATACTGATGGATTATTTTCAAATTGTGTTATTGAAACATTTGTAGGGAGTTGTTCAAATATTTTAAACTATTCATTTTTGAATTAAATGCCTAAGAGTATTTTCAGTTTCAATTGGAGAAAACTTATTTTCTCAAATTACACTCCAAAATTAGATTTTCAATTCGAGTCATTTAAATAAATTTTTATGAAACGAAAATTAATATTTTATAGATGATGTACCTTTTTGATAATTATTATTATTAATTTTAGTTTTTCTTTGACTGCTTTTAAGTGAATTAGTTTAATTCCCCTATAGAACTATCTTGTGTTAAATAAGTATGTTTATTATAACACAATTTCAAAATATTATAAAACCTATTATCATGAAAATTTAGAAATATGTTACTTAGAGTGCTAACTATGTAATGATTCATCCTACTACTTTTTGAATAAAGATGGTAATTGAGAGATAATCATTGATATAAATTATGCTGAGATGGATAAGTTGCCTAATATTCTATTGAATGTAGTTATTTTAAAGTTAATTCTATGTTCATATTAAAAAGCTTTGAGTATCAATCCGTAAGATATGCCATCATTATGGGGAATTGGTATAAATAATCCAAATTCCATAAAGTGATTGTCTAAAAATGAACAATAAATTGATATAAGGACTTGAGTATTATGAAAAAACATTAAAAGTTAATCCAAACATTTAATGTCTTTAGGGAGCAATAAATTCAATTAAATAAGGTGAATGCTTATTGATAATAAAAATATAATAAGAAATAAAGATGATGAACCAAACAGGGGAATTGGTAAAATATTATTCAAATTATAATAGGTGAATGTCTAAAAATAAAGAATTAATATGAATAAGCACTTCAATGGTTTCATAAAGCACTTAAAATTAATCCAATAAATATTTAATATCAGAAAGAAATAAAGATGATGAATCGTTTTGAAGAAGCGCTTGAATGGTATCAAAAATGATTGGTCATCAATCCACAGCATATAGATTCTTTATATGGGAAAAGTAAGTTTATAAGAATTAATCAAAGTTGAATGTTATAATCATTAATTATTAGCCTATTAATAAAATGATGAATAAATATGAATTCTAATTAACCTTACATTTTAGAATTATTAATA